AACAAAGGTAAAACATTAAAACATAATAAGATAACATTAAAGGATGTTTTAAATTTTATGAAAGAGTGGTGAGAAATTATAAAAAATTATTAAAGAAAATTAGAACAATACCAAAAACTAACTAATAAGGTCGAACGAGGTGTTCAAAATTATTGCCGTTTTTATACACACATATCAAATCGATATAATAATTCGGTTCTGCAAACTTTCAATAGTGTATTTTGATTAATAGCGGCTATACTATAGTAACATATATTTTGTTGTACAGGTCAGCCATGTCTTCTATTGGTTCCTTGTAGACTTCTTTTTGTAAGCCGCCCAATAAATAAAAGTCAGGGGACCTTGCTGGCCATCTAAGATCCCCATTTGTGCTGATCACTTTTCCTGAAAACGCCATTTAGATTATTCATAACGATATTGCTATTGTGTGCTGGGGCACCGTCTTGATGAAACCACATAGTATTTACGTCAATTCACAAATTTTGTAAAAGTAAAGTGAGATCGTTTTTCAGAAATTGTAAATAACGAACTGAAGTTAAATGTTCATGGTACAAATAGGGCCCGAATATGTAACCATTTACAATACCGCACCAAACATTTACCCCAAAATTTAGTCTGTCGTATCCAGTTAGGATTTTCCTGGGACCAATAGCGACAATTATGTTTATTAATTACTCCATTATTGTGAAACCGGGATTCGTCACTCCACATAATTTGGTTTAATAAATTTGGATTTTCTTCGAAAAGAATATGAAAATGTGTCAAAAAGTTTAATCTGCGCTGGTTATCTCCTTATTGTAGATGATGCACTAGATGAACCTTGTATGGAAAAAACATTTCCTTTTAGGAACTTACTGAAATATTGGTTTCATCTTTTAATATTGAAATATTAGTTTCATCTTTTAATTTTTGTAATGACGATTGTGGGTTATGTTTTACTGATTGGAGGACTAAACCTACATTTTCGTCAGTCGTATCCCTCTTCCTTCTTGGAACCTTTTCCTTTTTAAAGCTACCATATGTAGCTAAGTGGTACACAAAGCTACAAAAGATTTGCGATCTGGCGTTGGTCTCGATAGCAGCGCACAGCTTCTGAAGCATTTTGATGTCATTCTCCATAAACTAAAACCATGTATGTTCAATTTGTCTTGATTTGTATGGTGAACCATTTTTATTTTAGAAATGTAGAAATTGAAAATTCTTACACTGACACTAAGTAAAGAAAAAATTACTTGATGTTTCTAAAATTCAATTGTTTTTATTTCATGATTATTGTTTTTCAGAGATATGCAGTGAAATGGTTTTATTTTTATTTCTCAAAAACGAAGCAAGATATGAAAACAATTCAACAGACAAAAAAAGGATATTTTTAGTTGAATAGTCCGAAAAATATATAAAAATTACCAGACACTCAGTGGCGTATTATTTTCTGCCAATATTATTTGTTAAGGGCCCCCTGAGGCGTCACTGGACGTAATAATTTTAATCTAGTTAGCGCTACACGAGCGTTTTATCACCATAATTATGATTACCAGAATTATATGATCATGTGCTAAAGCATATTAAAAATATTTATAATTAAAATACTCGTTAAAATTATTAAAAAAAAAACTTAACCCCAAATATCTCCGTTCATGTCGAATTTATCAAAAATTTGTATGGGACATAATTTGATCAAAAATTAATTTAAAAGTAGCTGCCATCGAAAAAATTCTTTGCACAGTGGCGCCACCTACATCTTGTATTATTCAAAAACATTTTTCACACAGTTGTGAAGCCAATCATAGAGGCTAAAAACTGGCGTTTACAGAATTTAAATGTCACTTTTAGTTTTCGAAATAATTGGCCCTGGGAGTTTTTATTGAAACACCCTGTATATGGCATCAACAGATTTTTTCAAGCTCTATTTGGTGGAAGATTACAGTAACTCAGACATGAAACGATAGGCAACCAGTGAACAACTTCTCTGTATAGTTAGTGTAATAATCCACATTCCTACAGGAAAAACTATATTAAGTTGAGTTACTCTAGTCTCCAATCAAAACTGAGTTACAATAGTCTTCGTTGCATGGGTCGATATGATGGTTATGTGCTTGTCATTTTATAACCTAGTTTAATCAGAACATCGCTGCGTATTGTAATCCTACTGTAGTAGGGTGCTTAGTTTACGTATAAAAAAATTACAAAACATCTACTTATACTTTTGAGTTTAAAAGTTGAATTTTATTTTATTATTTTATTATTTAAAAGTTGAATTTTATTTTATTTTTTTAAGAATATTTATTTATAAAAAATCATTAAAAACAATTATCTAATCATGTTTAAAAAAAAGTTAAAATTTATTAATAATAACAAAGTTATGATGAAGTTTGGGTTTTCTGTCAACCATGTTAACTTCAATTCGCTGTAGATGCGTTGTATATCTTGTTTCCATAAAAACCGTTTTAAGAATCTAAAATCTAAAAAAATACAAACATTTTCGAGGTTTTAAACATTAAAGTTTAAAAAACTCAACTACCCCGGTTTAAGAAACATGTGATGTTGATTAATAACTCGAAAACTACTTGTCGGCATAACAATGGATGCATCCTGTATAACATCAACAGATCACAGAACATAGCAAATGACATTTATTTTATACACATCCCAGTAAGCACAAGCTAACCGGCCTGCATTCGGCCCGAATACGTTTTGCCGATCGGTCGCGTGCGGCCCGACACACGTATTTCTTCCGACGCGTCGGAAGAAATACGTGTGTCGGGTCGCGTCGCGACGTGTAGAACTGGCATATCCGCCTGGCCGAATGTCGGCTATGTTTACTCGGCAACTGCCTGGCCATTCAAAAAAAGCCTGCAGACGTCCTGGAGAGGGATATCCTATAAGTTTAGTCCTGAAATTCTCTGAATGGCAAGATACTTTTTTAACACACTCGACTAGTTAGACATTATTCGTTACTGAGCAGATGACAATTAATGTTCAGCTATGCCATTACGGACGCACATTTCCAACTAAATATTGCAAACAATCGCTATTTATAGTTCGCGTGCGTAAGCAGCCGTGAGATGTATCGCTTACATCTCGTACCGGGATAACATAACGCGGGCCGTAAGCAGGCCGGCTGGGACAAGGCGAACCGCCGGTCAACCGCCTATGCCACCGAAGACCGACTGTTTGCCGAGTGTTTGGTGCTTACTGGGATTGGTTACGTTGTATGAGCTGTATCGCGCATGCGGTAAACTAGCGTCTTGATTGGCTGCCGTTCGCAATCCGAACGGCAAAGTTAAAAGTTGCCAACTTTTAACTTTAAGTTGGTCAACTCTAACGTTAACAGCAAACCTCAAAGTCAAGCGATCGTCAAACTATAAATGAAATGGTCGACGATCGCATGTTTAACTTTGAACGGCAAATGCAACGACCAACGTCAACGTCAAATCTATAAATCCCGCTTAATAAATTGCGGTACATCACAGAACTTTGTCAAGTGACAAATAAAAATGGCTTTACGACTTAAATTCACGTAACTTATCCTTCACAACTTACAAATAACATTAGGTACATTTTCGAAAATGTAAACAAAGCAAAAGTGTACTGCACACACGCGATAGGATATATTTTACTGTAGGTTATGTTTATTTACACATTATTTGCCACCTCGATTTTTTTTTCAACAGTGGAGTCACTGCTTCTATTGAAATTCTGCTGAGTTGCAAGACCTGTATCTTACTAAGATCTTAGTTAGATACGGTCGAACAGACAAATGCAAATTAGTTCACCGCACCGTTTTGCCTTGTCACACAGTGTTACCCAACATACCCCACTTTCAATGTAATTTAATTATAAATTATGCAGAGTGTCCTAGAAATATTGGAAAAAAATTTAAAAGTGGAATCCCTTTAAAAAAAATAATATTTTTTTTTTCATTTCATTTCCAAATAACAGGGTGTTAAAAATCTTTTGAATATTTTGTTTCCGTATCTGTTCAAAAGTAATACAAAAATTAAAATTTGTAACACTTTGTAACTTGGACAAGAACATAACTTTATATGAAAAAACCCTATTATTTTGTAACTAGTAATCCACTGTTTTTACAACATTTCGGTTACAGCATACATATCTATTAAATTAAATGTATACTTTCAATAAAAATATTTTTTTACGGGAATAACTACCTACTTATACAAACAATGTAAACAGTAAATGATTGTCTTATTCAAGTCATCCAAAGTAAAATTTAAACAGCATTAAAACTATTAGATATTATTTAAGATGTTGGTACTATATAAGTCGAACAATACCCAAATGTTTAGTAGCAACTATATATACCGTTATTTGAAATAAAATATGGATTTTAAACCTGTATAACTGCATTTGTACAATACAAGTCCGAATTTCAAGCAATTATTACTGCCACAAAAGCTACATACTTACATGTTTTCCTAGTCTAAAAATTTCACAAAAGGGTAATATTATAAATGGAATCCTTGAGGCTCTGTTAATTGTTAAGAATAATTTTAAAACAACTAATTCTACTAACAATATTGTATACAATTATTAATTGGTAATTACTAATTAGGACTTAAGTTATATGTATAATCATAATTTACATTTTGTCTAATAATTATTATTGAAATTGACAGATATATTAAAATTTTAGTATTCACCTGACTTCCTAAAATTTATAATTGAGCGTTGTAGCTTAAAACTTAAAAAGATACAATTTAAACTTCCAAAATTTCTTATTTTTTAAATCGTATTAATAAATGTATCTACAGTTTTGAAGTGACTCATTTACAAAATTATCTTGATTTAACATTTTAATAATTTATTAAAATATCATATTTCTTAAAAGTACTTTAAGAGCTATATTATAAATTAAAAAATAAATAAATTTTGGCATTCGTTTTGGTTGATTCCACACAACACGTGATAGTTAATTGTGTTGCACGGCTGTATCCTTGCAAGCGTCAGATTACATCGGGTAAAATACCCTCCACTTTATGCTATTCACCTCCAAGAGACAGCGCCTGAACAATACGAGGATCGGCTTTGCTTCCTTCCCGGAACTCTTCCAAAGTTAATCTGTCGTCATGATTTTTATCCATCTGATCAAAAATCTTGTCTACTCTTTTTTGTGGCGTATTTTCATCTTCTGTTGTAGGTTGTTGTCCCTATGACAAAAAATAAATAAACCATTAATAATTTACACAAGCTTAAAAAACTAGTAATTAAAAAAATCTACTTTGTAAGGGTCCTGTGGTACATAAACTTTTAAATTCAAATTTGGCGCTATTTTAACCAAGAAAAATTTAAATATTTTACTAAAAATAATATTATAGTTTTAAGTTATTTTATGTTTTAAAAACCTATTGAGTTTTAAAATTTCACTTTGTATTTGAACATAGAAATGTTAGTGGGTTTGTTTATGTCTGACATTCCTGCTTGAAGTGGCCGAGATGTTTAAAATATAGAATTGGGGAAGAAAGAGGCAGAAGAGTGTAGACAGTCATCCTATTGTGTGTCACATGTTTAAAAGTTTGTGATATGTATTATTATAACTATTGTGATTGTAACCGATTTTCTGATATAATTAGGTATGTACACTTTTATAAATTGTAATTTACGCTAGTAATGATAAACAACTAAGTTGTTTTGGGTTTTCTTAACACATTTTTGCTTATAATTTTTAACATCATTATTTAATTATGACGTTTATCATTGCTAGTTTAATGGGTCCTAATAATTTTAATATGTGTAAATTTAATATATATCGCTATAGCGAGTAATTTTTGGTAATAAGTTTTATTGTATCACTATTTCATTATTTCGGTTTAATATCTTGGAATCGCGCATACACTGAGTTCCAATCTCAAGCTTTATGTTGTCGGGTTCATCATATACACTGAATTACATTTATATTAAATTTTAACATTTTGTATTGTCTTTATTTTGGGTTACACTGACCTTTGTATAAATAACGTTGTTTTGTTGTTTCCTTTTGTATAACTTTGTATAACTTTTTATTTAACCGACATGTATTTTATTGTTTATGGAACTTAGTGTATCGTCTCGGTATTAAAGTATTTATTTATTTTAACTGTTTGCATTTGTACTCAGACTAAAGCTTTTAACAATTATATTACTATTATAATATTGGTATTATTTGGGTAAGGTTTATAAAATGCTATTGTTATTATTATTATTATTATTATTGATATTATTATTATTAAATTTGATATTACCATTAGGTCATATCATGGTAAGGTAATAGTACCGTTTAGCCTTTTGATTCTGATTCTGGATAGAGACTTTGATTTAAACTGCTTATATTAGCTCTTTATTTGGAATATTTGATAATGACTTTAACTTTACTATATACAGTGCTTGCAATATCAAGTCCGACCGCGCTGGAAAGGACGGCTATTCAATACCCGCGTGAAAAGAACAAGGATAGAACGCCAAATAGAATTTGATTGGCCAGAGCCGGCTGCCGGATGCGTGCGAATTGTAAGCGAGGTCAACTCTGGCAGCCAGTCTGGCTGGATTTAGACTAAATAATTTAGTGTTAAGCAAACTGCGTAAGAGTGTAGATGCACATTTTAATTTTCTTTTTAAATATTTTATACCCAAATCCTAAAAATAAAATTTTTTGATTTTTTCCTTGAGAACTAGGGCAACAACAAAAATAGTATTCTTAATAAAAAAGATTTCTCAAATAAAAATAATTCTGAATAAAAATAAAACTCTAAAAATAAATAATAAAAATAAATAAACTCAACAATTAAATTAAATGTTCGAACAAGCCCCCATAGGCAGCCAAACAATAGCCTAACCTATTATAAAAATTCCCACGCACATTAGCTAGGACTTCTGGACTAATATCCCCCAACAAATTAGTTATGCGGATTCCTAAATCCTTGAGGTTATTAGCCCGATCTTCCTGGAAAACGTACAGCTTCGACTTGAGGTACCCCCACTAAAAAAAATCACACGGCGCCAAGTCCGGTGATCTAGCTGGCCAGAGAATTCCTCCTCGACCCATAATAAGACGAGGTCCAAAAGTGTCGGAAAGGAATTCCCGAACAGCCATCGTATTATGTGCGGGGTAACCGTCCTGCTGAAACCATACGTTTTCGATGTTAACTCCGTCTAAATTTTGAAGCGCGGGAACTATTTGGTCTCTTAAGAGATTTAAATACCTAGCGCCATTTAAATTGCCATTTATAAAAAAGGGGCCAATTATTCGGTCGCCCAAAATACCCGCCCAGACATTAAGTTTTTGGGGATACTGTGTCCGAGCTGCATAAATCCTACGAGGATTTTCTCGCGCCCACATTCGAACATTCTGCGAATTGTGCCTGCCATGGAGAGTAAATGTCGACTCGTCAGTAAATAAAATATTACCGATAAAATTTGGGTCGGCATTTGCTCTCTCCATAACAACCTCGCAAAATTCCATGCGGCGGAATGCATCGGCAAGAAATTGCTCGTTTCCACGTCGCAGCTTAAATGGACGATATCCATGGCGTCTTAGCACATTTCGTGCCGTGAAAGCTGAAATATCAAACTCCCTGGCAACGTACTTAATGCCTGGGTTGGGTTTTCTTCAATTGACGCGCAAATTAAAGTATCCCGCGCTTCTCTATTTAGATTTTCACGGGGAGGACGTTCCCGTCGGAGCTGCATCGGAACTACACAACCGTGCGTGAGAAAATTATTAACGGTTCGTCGAATTGTTTCTCTGTTTGGTCTGGCCTCGAACATTCCCGCAAATAATCTTTGAATTTCTCGTTCAGAATTACCAGCAAAATGCCAGATTAAAATCTGAACTTTTTGTTTCAACGTGTACATTTTTTAATTAAATAATCTTTTTTACTAAAATTACTACCTCTTGCTGGCACCACTGCAGTTCTCGTTCTGATATCCTCGTGTCAAGCACGCTGCGAGGTGCGCGATGGGTATGCGTTGTCGTAGCCTGCCGGCTGGCCAATCAAATTCTATTTGGCGTTCTATCCTTGTTCTTTTCACGCGGGTATTGAACAGCCGTCCTTTCCAGTGCGGTCGGACTTGATATTGCAAGCACTGTATGATAAAAATCTCTTTATATTATTATCCAGCGCGACACTTTCTGGTGGTTAGAGTTTTGGCCATGTTTAGGTGGTTTTTTGTTATGACTCTCTCCTATTTACCATTTATTGTATTTATTTGTATTTTACTCCATTTTATTTTATTGCATATTGTTGATTTTATTACATCTATTTGTGTTTTCGTTTGGAGAGTTCTCATGCATGAATATTTGAACATGGGTAATATATTAGCATTATTTTAAAAGGATTTATCCTTAGAAGAAAAATAGTGTTTTTATGTTATTACCTATATAAACTCTGTGTGCAGAATTGTTTGTATATGTTCGCAATACTTTTGTCTTGTTCTGGACATTGATTTTGTAAGAATATTTGAACATATTGTGATATAGCGACACTTTAGTGAGATAGGACCACCATAGCTGTCATTATATCACTTCGCAGAGTATGCAATTGTTCCATAGTGTGGTTATTGGCTACGGTTAAATATCTGCACTAGATTATATTTTTCCATGTCCCCCCTTTTTAAAAGCATCTGAATTCTCTCTATTAGAAATGTGTCGTTGCTGTAGTTTACCCATTTTTATATCATTATTTGTATTTTTAATCTCACTTTTTTTGGCACACAGATAACACATTTCCAACTCTTTTTTAAATGAAAGCCTCTGAGATCTTCATTCGCACATTTCCCATGATAATATTGGTTACACTCAGAACATTGTATTGCACCTTTAAAATCTACAATTTGCTCTTTGCAAATAAAGCACAGATCATCTTTCGCACTCGCCATAATTTAGACCAGGGCTGCAATTTTGTTGCAGCCCTAACTTTTGACAGCGGAAAATTCTAAGATCACTTCAGTGGCGGTTGGTGGATTTTATGTATACCAATATTTCAGTTATTAGACATGGGACCCACAACCAAATTTATAATAGTTTTTAATGATATTAAATAAACAAGTTCGGCGCAAACAGAATTTAAATTGAAGATTGCGAAAAAAAGTTAGTTTTTCCTGTCGCCTCACCCGCCTCCAGGCCCCCCTATTTGAGATAATTCAAATTAAAGTGGTGCAATTTATTATCTACTATAATTTATGGACAAATTTAAAATTGTATTTAAAAAATCAAAATATTACGGATTTTATTCGATTTAAAATTTTTATTATTTATTTTATTATTATATGTGCAGTACTGGATTAACCTATAGGCCAACCTAGGCCATGGCCTAGGGCGCCGCGAAGCCAATAGGCGCCCAGGCAGAAGGCTTATTTTTTTAAGTAGGTTAAATATTAAAATTAATCAAATTAAATTAAATAATTATAATTATTAAACATGTAATATCTACTCTCTAAAAATGAATTAGTCAAAAATGACTTCAATCACTTGTACCATGGTATCCCAAAATTTAACAGCCAATTCTTATGTAAAATTGTCCCCTGAATCCGAAAATGTCAAAAGTTAAAAAAGTAGAACAGTTTTTGAGATATATTCACTTTTCCATTTAATATGTAATTGACTATATCTCAAGAACTGCTCCACTTTTATAATTTTCGGATTAAGGGGACAATTTTACATACAAATTGGCTGTTAAATTTTGTGATACCATGGTATTCCATGGTTAACCATGGTACAAGTGAAAAAGCAGCCACTAATACTATTAAATAAGTCATTTTTGACTAATTAATTTTTAGGTAGTACCCTTTTTTAATTTAATAACAAAATCGGAAATATGAATAATTTTTTTATTTTTTTTTTATTCTTTGATCACCTATACCGCAGCGCGTGCCGACAATGCACTTCGACCCCGCTAAAAAAACTTTGCATGCATGATCAATAATCTAGGGTTTTTTAAAAAAACTACAACCACTGGCTTTTGTGTTATATTAAAACCATAGGTACCTATAGGTATAGTATACTAACATGGCCCATAATAATTATTATAGGCGCCATTTTATTATTAGCCTAGGGCAACAAATTGTCCTAATCCGGCCCTGTATATGTATATATATATATATATATATATATATATATATAAATATATATATATATATATATTTATTTGATTTAAAATTTTTATTAGTAAGAACA